AAAAATTGTTTTTTTCTTCACATTAATCAATATCATTTTGTCAGCGCCATAAACAAAAGAGACGCATATATTCGAATGATAATTTATTGACTTGCGACTAAAATGACGAGCCATCAAAAATTACTTCTTCGAGTATGATATAAATTCAAGAGATGTTTTTCCACAATTTCTATATGATAACGCTATCGAAACCGAAAGAATTTCAAATGTTACGCTTATGGTTCCAATACCGTATGTTAGCGATTTTTTCACATAGATCAAAGGCTATCTATACTTTTGCACTTGCGGCATTCAATTTTGCGCTGACTACGATTTTCATTCGAAGTTGTTGATCTAACGAGCAAACAAAAAGAAAATGTGCAGCGCATGTATTTGTACAATGTTTTCTTTTTACCGTCACTTTGTTACAATGTTTTGCGATCTAAAATTATTGAACAATTTTGCTAAATCGATCGTATGCAATTAAAACAAGCACTCCAATTCCGACGTAAACACTATTTAATGGGAACAATTTAGCACGTACAAGGATGTTCCGATTAATTCTGAACGAAAAATCATAATAAAATCAAAACAAAGCTCACATCAATTCAAAATCTATTGACACATTCACTTAGACAACATTGTATAAACACACACCGAGCGAAAGAGAGACAGAGTGTTTGCACTGAAAATTGGCATGTTGGATGCATTCGAAACTCACATAAAATCTTCCATATCAATAATGTTGACAAGTGGACAAGCTGGTTCGCCATAAAAACCATAACATTGTGCAAAATTCCATGGTCGTGGCCCTTGGCAAGGTGCGTACGAAACGATTGCATTGCTATCACCACCAAAACATGACGACGATAACGACGACAACGGTGATGACAATGACGACGATGACGAGGATGGTATGGGTGGAGGTGATGTCAAATAGTTAGCATCGTTATTGAAATGCATTGGTATGGGCTGTTGTTGATAGTATTCAATGTTGGTATGTGTTTGGTCGGCTGTTGGTGCCACGGTCAAAGGTTGCACGTTCATTGAGTGATTTGCTGTGACAGCAGTAGGAGCAACCATACTGGTTGTTGTGTACATATGATGATTTGTCGATTTCATGTCTTGCACTTGATTTTGTTCATAGTAAAATTCGGAATTTACAGCCTCATACCAAGTCGGCGAACGACCAGTTGGCACAGTGGCCGCACTTGTTTGACCATAATAATCCATTCTTTTATTCAAACTTAAACTACTTCGTTTTTTTGTATTGCACGTTTATTAATTTGGTTATTTTCTTGGCCAAATCAGAACTATTTGGTATTGAATTTTGACAAAATATAATCCAAACGGTACATCACAGTGAATGCTTTTCATATGACCGCACCTGCCTAGCTACTGATTGTTGCCATAAGTAGGCACACTAGTTGCAACTCAAAAAGATCTGATAAGATGTCAGTACAAATAAAAACATAGACAACTCACAATAATAATAATCACATTATCAAGCATGAACCAAATAAATGAACAACGGTCATAGACATACAGCACACATAGACAACAATCGCACACAGTTGTGCAGATTCTTTTTTTTTCTCTTCTCTTTCTACATTTTGCGATAAGATAACGTTTTTGAGATTACCATTTGATTGCGGTGTGTTCAACATACGATTGGTTAGAATTGGTACCAAACTCCAAAGATGAATTTCAAATTCAATGAACCTTATTTCGCCATTTTGTCAAGAAATTACCTCATAGTTGTACGGCTATAAAACTAGCAGCAATGCAGGCGTTATTCATATCAATCCCGACAATTTTTTTTCTTGAGGAATTAGACAAGTTTATGAGCACATGGTAGACAACCAATTACATAAATTGGTGTCGAACGTAGACACATTCACTTGACAACATTTGATGCCGATAAATTGTGTGATACATCATATGTGAATGACAGCACGTTATGCGAAGACGAGATTTTAAAATAGAGTCCAAATTGGCTTCTATCTATAGTTGTGTATTGCGTCAAATGTCGCTAGAGACGCAAATTAAATATATTTTATCAATGAATTCAAAAAATACAAAAACAATTCCAAGAATCAATGATCGGATTTACATTTTTAATGTCATCTGAATTGACGCTCGAAAAACGAAACAAATTATATATTCGAACAAAATGTCTCGTTAATGAGACACTAATATCGAATGTTTTGTTTTGGTATGAAACAAGAATTTTTCTTTTGTTTATTCGATACATCAAGAAATGCGTACTGTACACACAATTCACATATACATTGGCGCACACACACACACATCGTGTCAATGATATGATACCACTGGTATTTGTTTATCAATTTGTATCCGCATATATTTTCTGTCTTGCCTTATTCAGTGTTTGTACAAGAAGACCTAAGCACAAATGATGAAAAACAATAAATTGAAATACATGAAAGCAAGTTGGTCAAAGTTGACAAACTGGTTTCTGATCCACTCTAATTGATCTGGACTTTCTGTGTAGAACACAACATATATTACGATTGACTCGGAATCGTAATGACTTTAAACTGCATGAATGCATATTTTATCGAATAAAATCCGATTTCTTATGCACCGTCAAAAAATTAGCGGTGCCAATGAATTTGCATATTATCGCGATTTCATGGGTGCCATTTCTTGTTTTCAGTCTCTTCTTCTTTTCGCACATCGCCAATGGTTCTGTTGAGTTTTTTTTTTGAAAAATATTTTGAAGTATGGCAGTAAATTTCGTCGAAATACCAAAAAGAAAAAGAGAAACGAATTTTGATAAAGAAAGAAATGTCCGCTAAGCGGTTCATATACTTGATAATTTCGAAATGGAATCATATTTCATGCAGAATACATTTATTTTCATCATTTTTAAGATTTTCAGTCCACACAATAAAAGTCGAATTCAAAAAAATGGGCACTTCGGGCGATGTGTCTATACGGTCAATGCATTCCGGAATTTGAAGACAAACTATATTGGATTGGAAACCCAAAATTAACGATAACCAATCGGTCGACAATGAAACATCGCACCGAATTATAAGAAAATAATAATGAAAAAACTTGTTTACACCCGAATTCGATAAAAACAAGAAACGACTTGACTGAAACTGTGAACGATAAAATAATCTCTATTGAAAAGGAGCAAAAGAGGAATACAACAAACGTATCGTGCGGATATATTCGACGGATATTTTATTAAAATAAATAAAAATATTATAATTGAAACCAAGATAGGCTTTAGCCAGCTATACTGCTCATATTTATCTGTTTTGTAAAAAATCAAGTCATTGAAATTCCATTTCTAGCCGTTTTTTTTATCGGTGTATAAATTTAATGCGGCTAATATTTCGTGGTGGCAATGCACTAAATGCCCTCATCACACAATACCAATTATGTTGACATATGTAAATGCGGTTGTTCATGCAAAATGCATCGCAGAATCGTGTGCAATGCCATTGCACACATAATAAAAACGTTTGTTTTATGACTTTTGCATTTAATCGGCCAAATGATACAAAACTCTTTCAATTGACTTGCAAAGTAGCGAGTGAATTGCGAAGGATGGAGAGACTTACATAGCACACTCATTTCAATCAGATACCACGATTAAAATATAATGGCAGTGAATAAAATGGCACGCAACCCAAAATAATAATAAATGAAAATGATCGTCGAGGCGCTCATACAGCGTACTCACGAATACAATCAAAAGTCGATAGTGTTGTTTTCATATACATGCATTTGATATGACTGAGACAGTGAGAAAAACAAAATAAAATAGGTCGTCGGTATTTACGACTGAACGAGAATAAAAATAATAATAATAATATGAAGTAAATTGTGAGTCGTTGAGAGGGATTTTCATAATGCTTATTGAACAATGGAAGTGGGTTCCATTTTTAATTGTGGCAAATTGTGCTGCGAGATAATCGCAGTTTGTTTTTGTCAATTGATCCAAAATACAAAAAAAAAAAAAAAAATGGGATCACTAGCGAATATTCGAGTTGAGCTTGAATAACTCTCCATATCACATGAACCGAGAGCGAGAGAATAAATATAGACATAGATTTTGAAATGACAAGCAGCAATGTGAAAAATTGCTGTTCACTCATTCATTCGCTGTGTGGTTTTCTTACCTTCGTTTTTCTTTCGGTTTGGCCCGTTTTTCCTCGATCATTTTGTTTGGCAATTCACTGCCTATCGATGACTGTGATTTACTGTCCATGAAGCACATTGTTTCTGGAATTGTTTTTATTTGCTCAACTGTCCGTGTTCACAACATTTAAATGATTTTGAAGTCACTTTGTTTTTTGTCTTTGTGTCACATTTGTTTGTTGTAATTTGCACTTTGTTCAAATCATTATATTCACTTTCACTATAGATTTTTGTAGGACGTTGTTTCCTATTGATATTTAGTGGCTCTTATTTGAATCTGTAATTAAATTTATTAAATTTGCTATTTAACTTTGTTAAAAGCCTATGTGTTATGTATTGTTTTTGTTTTATTTTGTAAACTTTCACCACGGATGGGATCACGCAGGTATTAAAATATGTTCATTCCGAGTTCGGTTCCATATTAAGTCAAATGGCCGATGGCTTCGTTCTACGGGAATATGAAATCAACACATATTGACGTTTAAACAACGAACGCAATCAAGTCAATAGGTATTGGTGATAGGCGCGTGTATACAAATACAAATGTAAAAAAATATCATATGAATTTGAGGAAAAGAAAGAGTGAGAAAAAAACAGAATGAAAAGAAATTAAAATGTTTCGTTCAGCGCCAGCAACAGTGACAAAAACACTCATTGTCGCATTGAAAAAGAAAGAAGCAAAAAAGGAAAAGAAAAATAGACACGCACACTGTAATATTTGCTGTAGTCACAAAATGTTTCGAATGTTGTTGCTATCAGTGTTATTCACTTACTTGTCGTGCTATGGCATGTATTGAGCACCGAATGTATGTTACAACACCAAATTATAACATCCATATATCAACTGCACAACAATAATAGTATCAAAAAACCAAAAGAAGAAAATCAAACAACGCACATCGCACACATTGGAAATGAATATTTTATTAGCGCAAACTAGATTTGTGAAAATGAAATTAAAGAAGAGAGAGCGAGAGAAAAATAGAAATATTCATATGTGCGTGTGCGTATCAGTGCGACTTGAAGTTTTTTTCGGTTGTGTTGTTGTTGTTGCTGCTGCTTCTTCTTCGGTCACTATCGACCATCGTTAAATAAATAGAAACTGTTTATTTAATGAGCCAATTGATTGGGATGAACATTTACTACTTAATTTATTCAATCAAAAGAAAACTACTTCCAAGTGAACGAAGCACAGATTTTGGAAACCGAACTCCATTCAATAGTCAATGTTGTCCTGAATTCATCACGAGAACAACAATAATACGCTCTTTTGAAAAAACATCACAACAAGGTTGAATGTAGATTGAAAAAAACAACAACTTCGAACGAATTAACTAATTGACTTTAATACCATGCACGAACACTCAGTTAGGGAAAAAAGAAAACTCTTTTCACATTTTATTCATCCATTTCAAATTTTGAGTTCACTTACACTTGAGTTTTTCGATAAATTCCACAATATTCGAGTGTTCAATCAGTTTTAAGACACTTTTTTCAATGTTTCACGAATATTTTTATAGATTTTTTCTATTTACTTTTATTTTGTGTTTTTCCATAACACATTTCGTACTCTGCACTTTTGTTCATACTGCTTCAACTAGTTAGTTGACCCATTGTGTGTGTGAAAAAGAAAAACAAAACATTTGTAATAGTCTACATTCATGGAGACTTCACTATTACGCTTCCATCTGACATGAAACTCTACATACACACAGACAGAGTCCGATATACAATCAACATTGTTTTTATTTATTTATTTATTTTGAATTCTCAATAACATTTTTGCAAGCACATTTTGGATTCAATAATATTTATTTTTGCAACGAAATTTTTATTTTTACATTTTTTCAGTGTATTTACTACATTTTTTGGTGTATTTTTTTCAGCAGATTTTTCAGCTGTTCGTTTGAAAACGATCTATCGAGAAACTCAATTTGGAGACTTTTTTCTTTGGTTTCAATGGAATGGCGCTACGAACGCACAAACGTCAAAATTTGACTGACAATTTCAGCTGAGCGGGACTTTACGTTGCGAATTAACAAACAAACAGTACTGCTCAATAAATAGTGTTAACAAAAACTATTCAGACCACATTGTTGTTGCACAAAATCAAAACGACACGAAAGATGGCACAAAGCGAAGCTGGAAATTCATCAATAACTACAACAACCGTTGTAAATGATGGACCTGACGAATTTGGACCACATATGATTGCAACGCTTTCGGGTGTATGTATCGAAATTTATTTAGATTGCATTTTTGGCGAATTTCACAATATTGTACTTTTTTCCATTTCAGGTTCAAGGAATCACAAATGGTGATATAGAAAGACTGAAGTCAGCCGGATACCATACATTGGAATCCCTCATGTATGTACCGAAAAAGGCATTAATGTAAGTAAAAAAAATGTTTGGCTTTCATGTTTAAATTTTGTCCATAATTATTTTCTTGGAACGATGGTAGTGACATTCCATTGAAAAGCAACAACAACCAAAAAACAGTTATGTCTGTATATCCAGTAATGCTGATGCAATCGAGTATTCTTTAATTTCATTTCGGTCACATTCTGAAATTTATAATGGACACATTTTTTCATTTTGTTTCGCACACAAATTGCAAACCGTTGACCATTTCTAATTCTTTTAAATAAATTAAAAATTAATAAAAGTTAATGTCATGCTCCTCTTGTAAGCATACAATACCAAAATATCACAAAGACCTGTCAATGATAGTTTATTGAAACAGTTAGCTGAGCGTGCATCTCTAGTGTTCCACCTAAGAATAATGCGACATTTATACACGAGAGTGAATGAAGGAAAGATAATTGAGTTTTCTTTTACATTGATACAAACTGATCATTCTTACGTGGTACATTCAAGGCTCACCAAATGGCTGAGTTTCCATTGAACTACTATTGGCCAACCTGAAATCAACTCGATTCATTCGGCCCTATCTAAAATAATTCGATTTTGTTTATTGTAGCGCAATCAAAGGTTTTTCCGAAGGAAAAGTGGAAAAAATGTTGGAAGAAGTATGCAAACGAATACCATTGGGATTTGAGACGGCATCCGCATTTCATCACAAACGATCTGACATTGTGTTCTTGACAACTGGCTCACGTGAGCTAGACAAGTTGCTTGGCGGTGGAATTGAAACCGGTTCAATCACAGAAATGTTCGGCGAATTTCGAACGGGTAAAACTCAATTGTGTCATACAATGGCTGTTACGTGCCAGTTACCAATAAGCCAAGGCGGCGGTGAAGGAAAATGCCTGTACATTGACACAGAAGGAACATTTCGTCCCGAACGATTGTTGGCGGTAAGCAAACTAAAACTAAATTCTGTGATTTTTGAATCAAAAACTATATTTTGATGTGATTGCAGGTGGCCGAACGATTTAAATTGAATCACAATGAGGTTTTGGATAATGTTGCCTGTGCCCGAGCGTTCAACACAGATCATCAGACTGAATTATTGATTCAAGCTGCCGCAATGATGTCGGAAAACCGTTACGCATTACTCATTGTCGACAGCGCCACAGCGGTAATTTAATGCACATAATCTAATTCCAAATTGAATTCTAACCTAATCGCATTTGTATTGTTCAATTTTAACAGTTATATCGAACCGATTACAATGGAAGAGGTGAGCTATCAGCACGTCAAATGCATTTGGCCCGGTTTTTGCGTATGTTACTACGATTGGCTGATGAATATGGTGTGGCTGTGCTCATAACAAATCAAGTGGTGGCATCAGTGGATGCGTCTGGACCAATGTACCAAGCCGATCCAAAAAAACCAATCGGTGGCAATATAATCGCGCATGCATCAACAACACGTCTCTATCTGCGAAAAGGACGTGGCGAAACACGAATCTGCAAAATTTACGACTCACCATGTCTTCCGGAATCTGAAACTCCATTTGCCATTGGCACCGATGGCATTAAAGATGCAGAGGGTTAGGTTGGATCCATGTGGATCAACATGAATAGAATCATCATTGAAGCCTTATTTAATTGATAAATGAAATAACCGAACTGATACAAGGCTAGATATAAGCAAAATGAAACAAAACGAAAGATAACTAACGGAATCATTCAATAAACATATTTTTTTTTATTAAGATTTTTATTGTTAATACACAAAAAATCTTTACTTCATTTCATTACTCCCCAACAACAAAAAAAAACTACTATAAAATTGCTATTTGTATATAAAGTTAAGATTTGCTTTTGTCTTCCGTTGGTTTTTCGTTATTAGAATCTGAACTTTTGTTTGTTTCTTCCATCTGATCAACAGTGTCGACATTGCTTTGTGTTCCTAGTAAATTTGTTGCATCTTTGCTCTCATCGTCATCGTCTTCCTGGCCTCCTTTATTGTAAACTGTTGGATATCGGGCGAAACACTCTTGCATCGTGGCAAATTGATCATAGCAATCAGATCCTTTTGGTTCAGCTTCACTGTTAAACGGATGGAAAAACATGCATTTTAATACTAATCGTGTACATCAAATGTCATCGAAACGAAAATGAAAGTTTTGAATTGGTATTCGTACCTGTAATGAAAACATGAAAATGCCTCTCGAAACTCAACCCCACATGGTCCTGTAGCCATACCGCCTAAGCACGGGCAATTCCAATTAATCTCTCCATTTGCTAAAATCAAGCCGGGCGCTCGTTCTGTCTCAGGCAATTCAACTGTGCTTGGTTTTTCGTGATCTTCTTTCGTTGCGAATATCACTTTATCCTTTCCAAAATCTTTGCAAAACGACATGACTTTCTTTGTTGCAATTCAAAATGTGTCCACCAGAGAAATTAGTACGCGTGATGCGCTTTGAACGTGAAAATAACAGGGAATGCCTTGAAATTTATCGATGAGGGTTAGTGCGGCTCTTAGTTTAACGTAAAATTCTTCGGGAACTCGTAGAATCAAACGATGTCGTTTTTCATCAAATTTCAGCACATCAACTGTTGTATGACCGCCAATTTCGCCAAATATTCGGTGCAACGATTGTTCAATACAGCCTTTCACATAAACTGGTAATGGATTTTCTGCTTCACTTGCCAATTTCCTTGAATTAAAGACGAAAAAACTATTATTTATCGAAACAGTCACGAGAACATTCACTACTTACAATAAAACATCTAAATAAAAGTAACCGCTCATTACGATTTTGATTAATTAATGCGAATCATTTTAGATTTTTGGAATTCGCACAAAATAAAAATCCATTCAAAATATTAAAGACGAATGAAATAAAATTTAATTTTATTCGGTAAAATTTGGTTCAAGCTGTGTCAATGGCACAATTTTTAGGTTAAAAATTCCATTTGAGAGGAGAAAGACTTTAGCGTGTAGAAATACATGAAATATGACATTATGTAATTATGTCAAACACTCATACCAGCACACCATACACCCATACACTCAACTCATTTCGCCGCAGTTTCGACGATTTGCTTTGCATGGTTTTGACAGTTTTAGTGCACTTGTCATGCATTATTTTTGTCAACAATCATTAGCAAAACATCTGAATTATTTTAAACGAAAATTATTCAATTATTCTGCATTCAGATCGAAGATGAGCGATGCAAAAGGTAATTTTTGTCAAAAAAATATTGATTATAAAATCGAAATTCAATGGTTTTTGTTACTGCGTAGATGGTAGGTCGAAGACAGAGTATCGTGATAAGGGGAAGCCAGAGGTGAGCTCTTCCTCTGAGAGTGATGACGACGAACATGGTGCATCTTCCGATTATACCAATCCAACATCAGATAAATCAAAGCTGGAATGCCTGCAGCAGTATCTTAAATCAAATCTGCACATTTCAAGCAAGAAAGAGAGCGATTCATCGCCAAAAAATTTGAAAATAGTTGATTTTGACGGCCTCGTTGATCATTGGAAAGAAAAAGGCTTCAAGAAAATCGTTACGATGGTTGGCGCTGGAATTTCAACATGTAAGTTGGCCATTGGATTAAGAAAATAATTGTTTATTTACTTATGATACATTCATTTCTTCCATTCTAGCCGCTGGCATCCCGGATTTTCGATCGCCCGAAACTGGGCTCTACCATAATTTGCAAAAGTACAAGCTACCCTATCCGACAGCAATATTTGAGATTGGCTACTTCCGAAAAAATCCACAGCCATTCTTTGCACTGGCCAAAGAACTGTATCCCGGACAATTCAAACCGACACCATGCCATTATTTTGTGAGGCTATTACATGAGAAAGGTCTTCTCTTGAGACATTATTCGCAAAACATCGATACGTTAGAGCATATTGCTGGCATTCCAAGTGAAAAAATGGTCGAAGCGCATGGAACTTTTCATACAAATCATTGTATCGATTGCCGTCTGGAATATTCTATGGAATGGGTTAAGGAACAAATTTTCGCCGACCATGTGCCTACGTGTACCAAATGTAATGGAGTTGTTAAGCCCGATATTGTTTTCTTTGGAGAAGATTTACCACGAAAATTCTACGTACTCCCCGATCGAGACTTTAATGAGTGTGATTTGTTGATTATCATGGGAACGTCGCTTGAGGTACAACCATTCGCATCGCTCATGGGACGACCGAATAAGCAATGCGTACGATTGTTGATTAATAGAGAGCTTGTTGGTAAATATTCTCGATTTGATTTTCTGTTGGGCACAGAGGGATTGAAGGTGGGCAAATCGGATAATAAGCGTGATGTAGCATTGCTTGGTGACTGTGATGACGGAATCATAGAGTTAGCGAATAAAGTTGGTCTTGGGGTAAGCAAATTTAGTTTGATAAAACTCACATCGAAACTAGTTCGATCTGTTCAAAACGGAGAGACTTGTATTATTTGAGTCCATTTTTAATACTCTCTCATTGCTCTCACATTTCAGGATGAGTTGAAAGAACTCATTGAACGTGAACATAAGAAAATTGACGAGGCAAACAAGGAATCGAATAAAACAAAAGCCGCAAATCCCAAAGAGGGAGGAAGCAAAGAATCAAAATCGGACACGAAATCATCTACCGCAGTTGATGACTCCAAAGCTAAAGCAAAAGGGCACGAGTAATCAACGACACCAGTAGCAATTTACTTACTGAATTGGACACATGATAAGATTGATCATATATTTTTAATTAATTTCCATTTATTCTGGAAAGGTTCTTTTACGTTGACGGTATATTTGTTTATTTATGAGTATTTTTGTTGACTTACACCCTTTTTTTGGCAAATAAACTACATTTCAAATGTATTTGAGTGAAAAATCGTGTGCTTTCATTGAATATATTTTAACACCAAATAAACGACGATCGATACAATTTCCAATTGAATGAAAACTCCATTGTGTTCTTTTTTTGTTTATTTTATGACATAAATAGTGTGTGGCTACGTACATTTAGCTATAAATTGATTTAAATTCATGCTGAAATTCCAGATAAAAATGCCGAATATATTGCTGATGTCCTATATTAATTGAATAACTGGAATCACGACAAAATTAAGATTTTTTTTATAAATTAAATAAAAAAAAGGAAATTTGAATAGCCACTCAAAACCACTTAAATGAATTCTTAATTAATTTGAACCGGCATAGAATAGTTCAATGTAACGACTTCCTATTTTCATTCGGTCTTTGCTGAGAGCCGTTCGTACTTGTTCATAATAATCGAAATAGGCTTTCGCCTCTCCGCTGTGTAATCCCTTGTTGTTTATAATGATTTTGCAGAAACTTGGCTTTAGCGGCGCGAAGAACTAGAATGAAAAGATCAATTTTTTTGGGTACATTTCGACTAAATAAAGATATATGAATATTATGAGACTATATGAGTAGATGAATATTAAATTTCTTACGTTAAATACATCCATTTCATCAGTGTAGTAGGGTAATCCTCGCATATGAATGCAGTGTTGGCCGCTCCGGCTATCATTGTTTCGACTATTTTTGTTGTTATTGAAGCGATTATTTGAGCCGCCAAACGAATCATTGTTGCCACCAAAGGAACTATTGCCAGAACCACCACCGTTGCCATTGCCGCCATTTCCACGTGAATTGAATTGATTGTTTGAACTGTTCCAGTTTGAATTTGCAAAGAAATCATTGCTTAGACTACTAAGATCTAGTAGCCGTTGATTGCGATTACCACCAAAATCTTGTCGATTGTTTCCCGACCGTTCGAAACTATTGAGATTCTTTGAAAATTCGTTTAAGTCAAAATCTTCAAAGAAATTGTCATTTGAATTTTGATTATTCTGATTGAATGCATTTCCAAAGCTATTGCCGATGCCACCGCCGCCATTGCCATTCCTTGAGTTGTTGAACATACGATTGTTGCCAAAGTTTCGGTTATTTGATTGATTTGAGTTTTGCATGAACATATCCCCATTGTTTGAACGATCTGATGGACACAATGAAATCAGTTTGACATTTGGAAAAAAAAAGAATCAATCAAGATTACCTCTTCGAAAATCGTTTCGATTATTTTGATTTCTGCCTCGTGCATTTTGGTTGCCTCTGCCGAAGTTATTTTTATTTCCATTCCGTTCATATGGATGCATTCGGTTGTTACCTAAGGAGATAATCACAAAAGAAAAGAATACAATTAATTTAAAATAATCGAAAATTAATCGACTAAACAACAAATTCGGTTGTTACCATTTGATTGGCTTGATTGGCCATTGTTACGACCGCCAAAATTGCCTCGATTCGGATTTGTTTGCATCATGCTTCTCATCAATTGCTGTTCAGTGCTCCGGAATATCTCAATGTATCTAATAAACATAATAATTGAAATGAATGAATGTGCAAATTACTCGAGCAAATAAACATTTGATTTTTGCTGTATTGCTCTTATCGCATTGTGTTATTGAAAACTTCATAAAATTGAATAAATAAATAAAAAAACACTTACCTGTGGCCCAGTTCATTCATATTTCGCTGCAGCGCTTGTTCACAATCTTCGATTGTTTCAAAGTGCACAAAGGCTTCACCAGACGCTTTGCCATTTCGGTTATGAGGTATGTAAATGCCATTATTTCTTTTGATTTGTAAGCCTGTGGCGAAGACAATGGAAGTGAGAATTTTTTCCAAGTCAAAAAATCATTTCGATTTTGTTTTTATTTACCTTGAAAGAAGTCAGCAATATCCGCTTCGGTTGCATTCCACGGAAGACCTCGAAGACGCACAACACTCTCATCCTCTGCGCCTCTCTGCTTATTCATTATGCATTGAAATTCATCGAATGTTGACTCAAACACTGTCATTGATATACAAACAAATCGCTTATTATTTTCAATCATCAATTTATCGCAAAATTGTATAAATACAAAACGAAAAACAAAGGAAAAATAACTGAACCTTCAATGTATCGAGATCCGAGGTTTTTCTTATGAAAAGTTTGAGCACGTTCAAAATCATCAAACGACGCCAATTCAATGTATGCTTCGCCGAGTGGTTTTGTATTGTTAGTGGCCAGTGTGACCAAATGAATGCCATTTTCGCCATTCACGATATTTACACCGTCGAAAAAATCACAAATTTCTTTTTTGGTTGTGTTCCACGGCAGGCCTCTGATTCGAATAATATGTGCATCATCATTGCAATTGCCGTCATTGGTATCATTGTTGTCGAATGATTCGATTTGTTCATTGCCTAAAACATAAACAATCACACTTCCACACTGTATTTCATTCGATATATTTACAGATTCAGCAAAACTACAGTTCAAATTTCAATTTGGTTTTTTTTTTTTGTTAAATTACCAGAAATTGGACGCGTTTCGGTGTTCAATGATCAAAATAGTTGGCAAAGCACGCATTGAAATCTTTAAATGCTTTAAATTAGAATCAATTGAAACACTTGCCATTTGCCCGGTAATTTATTGATTTTATGCATACAAAACAATAAACCATTATTAAGTAGGCTAAACATAGCACAGAAATTATTTACCTTCGTGAAGAACCGACATTGTCAATGCATTCAAAATAGAATCACTTACGAATATGAATAAAATCGATGATGAACTGAATTGGTAAAGTCAGTTAAAATAATTGTTTGTGTATTATTGTGACAAATTTTCAATAAATGTTTCGAAAGAGAAAAGTGTAATTTAAGAATCTTCAGCGTGAGCTATTCGCACAGCAGCGTCATTTGCTGGGCGAATTGATAAATTTGACTGACGCAATGAAGTTTTCCACAAAATTATGGAAAGTGTTGCCTGATGACTGTGAAAAAAAAGAGTAAAATTCCCACCGAGCCGGTTACTACAGCGATTTCGAGCACAAACAGACGCACACAAATAAAACGAATGTCACTTGACATTTAGAAAACAAGAAGATACAGAAACACTGACAGTACACACAGTCAAATGTACATAACCTAATATTCTGTTATTTTGTACAAATTTAATTTGGAGCCAGATACTGAAAAAAAAAAGTTTCACGATGAGTTCGTCAAAACATAAAGATAAACCACACAAGAGCACCGATTCACCGTCTGAAGAAAAACTTCGCGTTCTTTGTTTGCATGGATATCGACAGAATGGAAACACTTTTAAATCAAAAATTGGTAATATTACACAGCAAAAATACGATTTTTTTTTTCATTAAGATAAAAGTGTCTGTTTTCTATCTTTGGCAGGTGCATTCCGAAAGCATGGCCAGAAATATTGCGAATTTGTATTTTTAAGTGCACCACATGTTGTTCAAGTGCCCAAAAGCGGCGAATCATCAAAAGATGAAGATGTAATTCTATGTCAAGATGACGGCGATTCATCGACGACTAAATCAACTGAAACAGATTCGCCGAGAAGTTGGTGGTTTAATAGCGAAGATCGTACATTCAAGGGAACAAACAAAAATGGGCCAGCGTATGGATTCGATGAGACCATTCGTGCGGTTGAACAAGCATGGGAATTGCTTGGTCCATTTCACGGTATTTTGGGCTTCTCACAAGGTGCATGTCTGGTTGGATTACTATGTAATCTCAGTAGCCGAGGCAGTAAGTAACTATAATGATACAACTACTGGCAGAGATTATTTCTTTTAAATACTAATTTGTTTGTTGATTGTTCCATTCACAGTGACAAAAATCAAACCTCAATTTGCCGTGTTGGCGGCAGGATTTCGTTCTGGTAGTTTGGCACATGCCAATTATTATGAAGACCTGATCTCCATTCCATCTTTACACATAATGGGTGAAACCGACGAAATTATTCCAATTCAAATGAGCAAATCGTTGGCAACGTGCTTTGAAGAACCAACATTTGTCGAACATTTGGGCGGACATTACTTTGCCGCAACAACCCAACAGAGACCACATTATGTGGAATTTTTCAAGAAACGCTTAATCGAACACCTAGAACAAAAAGAACTTGAACGAGAAGATGCTGTGATTGTCGATCCACTAGATAGCATTCCATCAACGTCAGCTAATATGTCCGACGATTCCGATTGAATATGTGTTCACTGTACATGGATCGATTTTCAATTATTCTAAAAACAAAATAGCACATAAAAACCATCATGTATTCAAGTATCTGTGCATATTTTTCCAATTTATCGAGTAGGGGCCTGAATTTGAAATGATATTTGTAAGAAATAAAGAAAAATGTTATCAATTAATATGTAGTTATTACATGGATAAATAAAAAAAAAACGTTTATTTATACAGAAACCAAAGCGAGTTTTAATATAAAAATGAATATCAAAAATGAATATCAATGTTTTTACAATCGTTTCAACGGAATTGATTTATTTTGGAGTGTTTTCTAAAAAATGGCACAAAATAAAAAATATTTTTTTCTTCGAAATATTTTGGCTTAGTAATTGGTTGTAGTTCGAACGTAATTTTTGCCAGAGGGCATTCCGACGCGATCGATCCCTTTCGGGAAAACTTTATCGACCAAATTGTCCTCGACATGTGGTAAAATCATCACTTTTTCACCGGGTGTCCAATTTGCAGGTGTAGCGATGTATGGGTTCTTATCGGTCAGTTGCAAAGAGTCAATAACTCGCAATATTTCGCTGGAAAATCAAATAAAATGATTAAAACAAAAAAAAAATATGACCCGTTTTTGTAGAACAACGAAATCGGTTTGGAATTAGTCTAATATGGATTTTAGAGTATTTAACTCACTCGACATTTCTACCGGTTGACATGGGATAGACCATAGCTAGTCTCAAACGGTGTTTTGGATCAATGACATACAAGGCACGAACTGTTTTTGCAATTTCTGGGTCATCTTTTTGTTCTTCATCAATCATATCCAAAGCAACGGCCAATTCACGTTTTGAATCAGCGATAATGGGATAAGGAAAATCTCCAACAATATCCAAACAATACGATTTGATATCCTATGAATGTGAAGAACCAATATACCAATTTATAAACACGAGATCAATCGAAACTAAGAGCCAAAGAGCTTACATTCACCCAGTCAACATGGGACTGTAAATCGTCAACGGAATGAGCCAACAATTTGACATTACGTTTGCAAAAGTGCTCTTTGTGCACGGCCATTCGGCCCAATTCAGTTGTACACACTGGCGTAAAGTCACTTGGATGCGAGAACAACACAACCCATCTGCAATCAACGATCAACAAAAATAAGTTAATTTTTTTTTTTTTTTGAAATAGAAACAAAACAAATTCACTCGATTTAAAATCGGAAATATCACGAAACTGAATTTAATTTATCACAAAATGAAAAGTACAAAAGAAATCTTTAAAACGTACGATTCGCCTTGCCAATCATAAAATTGGATTGGTCCTTTGGTGGTTTGTGCACTGAAGTTCGGAATTAACGATCCTAGACGCATTTTGTATAATACAGTTTCTTTTCTATTTTATTGAATTATTGTGTCGTATATTGTTTGCAATGCAAAAATGTACTGAGAATATATGATTATTTTAACGCCTTTTATAGCAAGAGAGATACAAGGCACAATTAATCTAATCTTGACCTTGGAATGTTTGCGCAAACTGTAAATAGATTACGTCATAAATATAAATTCAGCATGACATCTCATCGTAAGTATTTACAATTGAGTCAAGTAATAGTGACTTTGTCACTTTACAGTTCGTGTATATATCTTTGGACATGAGTATTTATAATTCATATGTACTCCATACATTAATTTTGAAAAGTCATGCTTCCTAGCGAATTTATCTTATCTCCCGCAAGCCAATGGAATGGAGAATATTTTTGACAATATTCATTATGTTGTTAACAAATGGAAATCGCTAACTACATATTCAACATTTACATAAAAAAATATTAAAGAAAAAATAAACATAGCATCATTTTCACTTATCACATGCATGCAATGTCTTGCTGAATTACGACTCGTTTTGAGATAATCGCTCTGTGTTTCTCTCGAATATTTTATCAGGGTCAAGACTAAATTTGTTGTGATTTATATCTTGATTGAACTACAAAAAGCAACAAAGATTATTATTTTCTCAGTTTATTTTGCACAATTGCTGTGAACATAACGTGAATTTGTTGCGATTTAGTGACTTTTTAATTCAATTAAATAGAAAAATCTATTATACAAAATGCGTCTAGGTTCGTTAAATCCGAATTTCAGTGCATAATGCATATTGTGATGATTTTACCAATTTGGCTGATAAAGTTTTTTTAACCAACCACAAAGGAAAAACAATTGTTTATTTTGAGTAATTTCAACAATTTTAATAATAATACTCCGATTTGTATACATCAATTATACTTTTTTTTTATATTATGATGAAAGGCATCGATCAATTCGATTTATATTTACTTTATTTTTCTGTATAAATAACAAAAACTGCAATTTGGATTTGTTCTTCACGCAATCGACACATTCGACTCATTCGTTGATTCAAATGGGGCGGGCGGTTCTTCCTGTGTCGTCTCATTCATGTCCCTCAAATTTCTGAATGTAACTTCGCTTAGAACTAGTCCGCTTTGTTTGGCCTTTTTCACCCATTGTTGACTTTGACCTGCTTGTGCATCTTGTCCTAATTCATTCAATCCTGCTCGCATTATTCGTACCCATAACACGCTTTTATTTTCAACTGATGAATTATTTATGATGGTTTCGATGCGTTGCATGAATTCCTTAAAGTATATTAAGAAAAAAGTTTGACAAAACGAAACAAAATGTTGCCCAAACTGTTCCTAATTACCTGTTTCATTTTCTTCGTTGAAAGTTCTCGGAGCACAGCAATAGCACAATTCGCTAGTATATTTGGCATGCCAATGCACCATTGCAACATTGCAAAAGCATAGTCGTGATCGGGAAATCTCTAAAACATTGGTGATTTACTTTCAAATTTATATTTATTCCGGATTTTCTGCCATTTACCTGTAAAAGTTTAACCACAATATCGCGAAGCTCAATGTCACGTTTGGCGTATAGCAGTAATTTTAATTGCTTCAGCATATATTCAATATACCGAAGTTGAGTGTGATTAACGCCATTATCGTCAATGACCAGGCTAATCTTCTTCAACATGTTTTGTGACAGCACTTTGATGTCAACTGTGGTGGATACAGCAGCAAAACGAAGCTCAAATTCACTGAGACACCAGAATACCTGAAATGATTGAGATATAAATTGCAATTCTATTATTAACCATTTGGATATGTATGACATTCACCGCCATGCACAAAAAGTCAAAATCTTCTTGAGTTTTTTGTAGAATTTCCAGCAAGCGCTTGGTGATTTTTTGAACAGAAACATCATGGTCGACATGATTCTGGCAAACGGCAACATAACTTTGAACCAAAATGATGAGGTTATATGCTGAAAATTGAAAGTTTTAACGTGTGATTTCGCATGAACGAAACTTAATTTTTTTTATTTTCTCACCCAAAAATGTTCGGTTTTTCGACAAATCCAGCTGATTTGTCATATCCATGACCAATATGTTCGATTGATTGCAAATCGTAACAATTTTTTGGCTTGATATCAGTTTTTTACAGGAAAACACACTGAGTTTCATGAATGTGTTCAGAACATTTTGATTTCCATCGAAATCAACGTTCTCTTGAAGTCCCTTTTGCAAATCCCGCTGCATAGCATTTCGTTCTGCCAGGAATTGATCGAGATCAGTCATCCATGAATCATTACGAATGTATGATTTATCGACCAATATTTGAAACACAGTAATCACATTCATTTGATGAGTGAAGTCATCGAAGAAATTCAAGAATATTTCCGACACAATTTCTCCCAACTTGAAGAGATTTTCCTGTGAAATAAAGACCAACATGAATGACGGTTTCACTTGATATAAATAATAAATAACACTCACAGGGTTAATGTTCAGTAAGATGTCTGCATGTATAATGGAATAAATGATGTTTGCATAGACTCTGACATATTTGCGATCAAGATTATTCATGTATTGAATGGCATGATGAATGAAAATGCGTATGTGTTCTACAGCGTCGTTTGAAAGAACAATTTTCATTTTGAAACGGTCAATTACACGCTCCAACAAAGAGAACAATTCGTTGATGAATTCTGTGTTATCCAACCGTAATCCAATGGCTTCGAACACAGCATCCCAATTGGTGAATTCAAAGAAAAATGTATTTACCAAACGCTTTGGACACTTTGTGTAATCTCTCTGCAAACATATTTTAAAAATTATTACTAAATATCATTGCTTTTGACCAGGCGACAAGGGAATCACTTTGGATAGTGATTTTGAAAGGACCCTTTAAGAAATCGTAAAAAAATCATCTATTTGAAGGTGAAGACATTTTTCATTCGAATTAATAGTTTTTTTTGGATCGCTTCAGAAGCAATGCTGTATTTATCGGCAAATTGCCGCAATAAACATGTCATCGAAATTGAGCACTTACGCGGAATCGTTGAAATAGCTGTGTTGCTCGAATTACTACGGTGGATGGATCTGCTATGTCAGTGTTTATTCCACGAAGCATTAGGCGGCATAGTTTCGCAGTTAATTGTTGTACAATTTCATTGTCGCTGTAAACACACCATCGCAACACTTGCTCTGTGAATACATTGCGATTTCGAACCGGTCTGTAAAAAGCAGTTTATCTCTTGAAATTAGTGAAAAGATTGAACCTACAGATATAACAGCGGTATTTTCACAGCTCCTATTTACAGGTGCACTTTAACATATTATTTGTTACATTTCGTTCGGAATTGTGTCATGAAATAGATGTCCGTATGCGTTGTGCACAAATAGCACTATTAAATCTGTAGGCTCAGTTCAATTACTAATCAAAATGTGTATCACTTACTCTTGCATGTTACATGCCAGTTCAAGCGCCAATTTTCGAACCTTAACTCCAGAAATTGATGTGATGATTATAGTCAGTTCGCGAACAATGTTTTGATTTGTACAAAATTGCAGCCAATTGTGGCCATTCGCTGATTTACCACATTCAATGATCTTTGTTATTGCATGGCCATTGACATCCACATGTTCGAACCGTAAAAAGTTTGCAACAATTTCAACACAACCAGCTGTATCTCTTTCAATCATATAATTGGTATCTTGACGGAAAAATGCATCAATTATTGCCGTCATGCCTGGTTGTGTGAGATTACTTTCTGCAATTCCCATTGACATGAATCGTTGCATTTGTTGCATTTGATTTTTGATGGCTGCAGTCGTGTTCGTATCGTATCGCAAAACTATTGCGTGTGTGTAGAGACAAACAACAGTGTTTGCAACTAATTGTGATGCATGATCGTTTCGCAGCATTGCGCGAATAATCTTTTGAAAATGCTCAAGCCAACCCATTTCTTTTTCATTTGATTCTTTTACCAGTAGTATGATCAATTCAGCTAGTTTTACATCATTCTCTTGCAGTCCATTGACGTTGAATATCTTTCAAGTGAAATAATCATTGAATGCTTTTTGAAAATTTTTGAGTTTGAAATTCGAAGGACACTACATTTTTGCCATCGATAAAAAATTACCTTGTTTTTTGTGTGAATCGACATGAATTCATCCAAATCAAACGTTTTCAGGTCGATTGCATGTGGAAGTTCAAACTCACCGTCAATCACATTGTGGCATGTCGATGCCAATAGATCCAATATCAGCTGTGTGATGCCAGCGATTGCGATATTTTCACCACGTTCATTGTAAACTTCCTTCCAAGTTTCAGCCGCTGTCTGGATTGAAAAGATTATAGTTTTTGTCGAAATATCCACCAAAAATGTAAAATAGTCAAAAGAAATACGCATACTTGTTGTTCATCTCTGCTCAATATGAGATTCGGAAAGATTCGATTCGACATTTTTTGGCGACAAATTGTGTGACACGATTTTCGATTTTTCTATGGACAACAAAGGTTTACAAACGATTATAAGCCACGGCTGTAATTTTCTTCATCTTCAAACATCCGAACTGAATGACACCGAATGATGTAATGATATTTTCTGATAACGGTTTTTTTAGTACGAGCAAATTTGTTGCAAAAATTTGCTGATTTTACAAAATCAAAAAACACAAAATTCACTGTTAATTGTACGAATGCATGCCCGAGATGTTTTTCTTAGCATCAATATACGCTTGTGTCTATTGAAAAACACCACGCACACACACGATCTCGCTAATAGCTAACAACGATGGCATCCATTTATACAAACACACAAGTATTGCTGACAATGAGTGCCTGAGCGCGAAACGATTTTCAGTGGATTTTGTGTCAGTGTGTGATCGAAACAAATTTAATACAGCCAAAAGGGCACACAACCAGCAACTACTTTGGAAGAGCAAGAGAGTAAGAAAACGTCACCGGAATTCAGTTTTAAATGTTGTTGAAACTCAATATATAAAATGTCAAAATGCAAATATGCTTTGTCCAGAGGCTTTGTGTTGAACCAATTCCACTTGTTCATACATCAAATCAGCTACAGAATAAGACTTGACGACAAAGATAATGAAGAAATGTATTGGGATGTGGAATGAAAACATCCAACAAAGAGAGCATTCAAATGCATTCCATATTCAACGAGGTTTCTATTTAAAAAGAAGTATGAGTAAAACCACCCTTCTCTTTCATCATCCTTATTCATTTGTCATTGTTGTTTGACGTCGAATATCTTTTGCTTCGTAGTAGAACAAAGAGTTTTTTTGAATAGCATATCAGTGTTTCAACGTACCGTATATCTGTACTCGATAAAATGTTTATCTACAGATTTTAAGTTCGTTGCACTATAAAAGCAAACAATTTACCTCACACGGCTAAGCATGTTCACATCATTAAAAATCATACATTTCAAAAACCAATTAAAAACGAGTTGTCGAACATAAATACAAATGCAACAAATTTAACTCTTAGCGAGTATTTGTGATGATAAGCCTCGACATTCGAATTTAGCTTGTCATAATCATATATTCAATCATTGTTTTTCACTTCAACACAGATAAGCGTCTATACTTCCAGTTCATTTTGATCAGTTGTAGTGAACATATCGTTGATTTGTTCGTAACAAATTTTGAAAAAAAGAAAAAGTTTTTGCATGTAGAAAAAGAATCAAAAATAATAGTTTTTGTAAAATGCGGTTACACACGATTATTCCAAACTTTAGCGCCGAAACCACCATAGGACCAATAAAATTTCACGACTGGCAGTGTGATTCGTACGTAAATTGTTAAAAAAAAATGAGTAAATAGAAGTACAGTAGTTGTTTGGTTGCGTTTTCAATGGAATTCACCTTTAAAAAATCTTTAGATGGGTCGTGTTGTTTTCGCATCCGCATGATTTTACTCCAGTATGTACGTCGGAATTGTGTGAAATTGCTTTGCTAGAAGATCAATTTGCTAGGCGAAATGTTAAGCTCCTGGCTCATTCAGTGGATGACCTTGAATCTCACCTCGAATGGCTGAAAGTACGTGATTTTTTTTATCTTTTCTTTTACTGATAAACTGCACTAATCGTATTGTTGCCTTAAAATGCTCGTAAAGGATATCAAATCATCGTGTCTGGGTGAAGTCAGTAAATTTCCTTATCCAATTATCGCTGATCCAACGCGTTATCTTGCAGTCGCTTTAGAGATGATTGATGAAGAACAAAAGAATGATATCGAAGTTGCACGGACCATACGCGCTCTGTACATTATTGACCCAAAACATCGCTTGAGAGCTCTAATTATGTACCCCGAATTAATTGGCAGAAACAGTCTGTGAGTATCCATGGCTTCATTTCAAGGTTGATTTTAATCCAAATCTAAAACAATCATATTTTATTTTTCAAGTGAAATCTTACGAGTGGTCGACTCATTGCAGCTGACCGATAAGAACCCATACATCGCCACACCAGCTAATTGGCAAGTACGTAGTTTTAGCTTTTGTTTTGTTTGAAGATTATTCAAGACAGTTTTTTTCTTGTTTCCGAATTTCAGCCGGGTGATAAAGTTGTAATTTTGCCACACGTCGATGAAAAGTTAGCTGACAGAGTTTTTCCAAATGGTATCGATCGCGTTGGTGTACCATCCGGTAAAAACTATATTCGTACCACCAAAGACTACAGAATGTGACATATTTATCTACCGTTAAGATTGGCGGGTTCCGTAGTAACAACGAATAAACTCTGAACAAAGAATTATGAACAAAAGTGAACAAAAATGACAAAAATTACTCAATAATAATTCGCTTTTAATTTGATAAACTCCAACTCATGAGTTTAGTTGTTTTTGTTCTTTTATCTAATCGTATGACATTGATCTTGATTGTATCAGCTAAATTGCAATTGAAATAGAATGTGGTAATCAATTTTAATTTGAAAATGTTTTATTATTGCTTAATTCGAGTGTCAAATACCGTTTGAAAGCAAATTGATAATGTTCAATTAGTTGACTTCGTTCATAAAATTACCTCCATTCTGAAAAAGGAAGCTTCTCATCAAAACATTTCCAAATGTATTTTACTTTTTATTTGAAAAAAGAAAAAAAAAAGATTAAAAGAGGAATTATATCATAATAAAATATTTGTTGTTGTTTTTTTTTTCTTTTTTATCAATTATCAACTTGATTTTAATTGTTGCAAAAAATGAATTGTTAATTTATATATTGAATGTGTGTATGTGTGTGGGGTGCGCATATTTATAATTCCAATAGAATTTCCATTAAAAATTAAGTTAAGAAGTAATGTGTGTTGTTTCTTGGCCATTAGCTGAATCTTGGTTTTTCATGACATCGGGTAAGTCTGGTGGTGATGAGTACGGCGCTATTTCTAATTCCTCAAATTCGCCATTCTCCAGCCTACTTTATGCAAATAAAATGAAAGAAACAGGATAATTACACAAGAATGAGGTTAAATTCACCGTTTTCGCTGTGCGAAACGATTGTATTTTTATGTGATTTTTCGGTAATTCTAACCGTAATGCAAGACCCAATTGTGCTGGTGACTGCGCTCTAGCCGTCGAAATTGTAATTCCGTATTCCTGCAGCTGTTTTTCATCGTTCATCATATCGTTATTTTTGAATAAACGTTGATCTGATGGATGCACCTTTAGTATGCCTACAAATTTGTTTGATAAATGATAAAATGTTAAAAATTCCACTCAAAATATTTGTGCGGGTTTTTTTGTGTCATAAAAGTGAGTCATTCGCTCGTTATATCTCACCTTCGATCATTTTTTTCAATTCTCCTACGGATGTATTGTCTTTGGCATCAGTAAAGATGGTCGTTTTCTTACGTCGGATCATTAAAAACACGTCCTGCAAAACACAAAATCCAACAAAAATATCAATTAGCACTAATTTTGGATGGGTTTTTTTTGTTGCAATTTTCAATGTACACAAATCAAAACAAATAGACTTTTCGTTTGACTCAAAACACATTGAGTATAATTACAACTCAATTCACATGTGTATTTCTCTATGTATACTATACATAATTAAAAAATTGATCATGACATGCAGTTTGCATGTGAATTCTATATACACATTTTTTTGCGCGCGATTACGGCATATAAGTCTGTAAATTTGTTTAACATTATACAATCTATTATAATCGTGTTTTGGCCCCGTGTTATGTGTACATGTCTTATATTTGTCTCTTCTGTTCTCTTTTTTCCCCGTCTTTTTTCTTCTACATTTTCGTCGCGGTAATTTCTTTCTTCTTTTCATTTCGTTCACACTGTGTCTCCTTTTCTCAAGTATAAGTCATTGATTTGATTTCATTTCTCTTCATTTTTCAATGGATTCAAAATCTAAGTACAAAGTTCATGCATACGCAAAAAAATCGCCGAATAAAAAACAATCAGCTTAAGGTTAATTACCATTTTTCTTTTATTGAGTGTTTCTTTTTTCGCCCCTTTTTGTTGTTCGAATCGAAGATGAGTGTGTGAGATAGAGAGAGTGTGTTAATTCGTTTTTTTTTTTGTGAAACAAATTCAATTTGGAAAATTGAGCACTTTTTCACTGATTATGCACAGCGGACACAATCCAGTAGTACACGTGAAGAAAATCACTTCGGTCGATTTCAAATTCGTAAGGCAATGGTATACTGCACGCAGCCAGAAATCAAACAGAAAAAAAAACCAAAACGAAAAAAAACTCGAAATTCAACGCGATTCCAAGCAGAAAACGAAAAAAGAAAAATACACAGTTGCACCAGTGCACATAAAAAAAAGTTTGACGAATGTATCACTTATTCTCGGTGAAACAACCAACACTCTGCTTGTCATGCAAAAGCAACAACAACAACAGCGGCTACGACCGAGAATCATATATTTTTGTCTATCGCCGCACGTACACATATGCCAACGCGCACTAACACACGCACACAAACACATTCAATAGCAGTGCCCATTCGGTAAGACACACAGTAAATAAACGTTGCCAAGACAGATGGCAAATGCCATTTTACGGCGAATTTACAATACTTGCCTGATTTGAGTTCAATCCAAACCGACAATTTATATTGTTATTGAATTTTTTTGCTAGCATTAATTTTTCGTTGAATTAAAATACACTTATTTTGATTTAATGTTGACGTTTTTGAAATATTTTATTAGCCATATTGCTTTAAAAAAATTAAAATCAAAAATTCCATGATCTGTCAACATCTTCATTGACATATCAGTACTTGTGTGAATGTGTGTGTGTTCAGATAGAACTCGGCGAAATGGAAAAAAAAAACTGCATCAAACTGAGGCATCCATGTAATTAGCCTCAAATGTCAGACGCACAGTGAAAGTTCTCGTTTGGCTTGTGTTTCTGTGAGTTTTCTTGAGATTTTTTCGCAAATCTCAATTTTTCATTTCGTTTTGTCATAATTAAACAAGAAAACACAATAAAATCGGAATATAAATCGAGGCATACACAGGAAGTAAGCAAAATAATATTTTTTTGTAGTTTCATTTTTCACATGAAAAACTACTCATGTTAGTTACAACATATACATTGATAAAAAAAAACCATATCGCTAATTGATAATTTTCCTATTATCGAAAGTTGAAAGCCTTTATTTTAGACATGAATTTTTAAAATGTTTCATTGATTTATTGTGTGTTTATTTGTGTTATTTTATTGTGTTCACGTGTAGTTTAAATTATTGATTACTTCGCCATGACGGTGGTATCGGAGAAGGGTGCCAAATCAAGCGATGGCGAACCAAGCAAGGGTGAACGTAGACGAACATTTTTTGATGTCACGCTCGGTGGTTTACCAGCTGGTCGAATTGTTTTCGAATTATATGGAGATGTAGCACCAAAAACCGCTGAAAATTTTCGAGCTCTTTGCACCGGCGAAATTCAGGAGTTGGGAAAAGTCACCGGCAAACGTTTACACTATAAAGGTGTAATTTTTCATCGGGTGGTCAAAGATTTTATGATTCAATCGGGAGATTTTTCGGCTGGAAATGGCACTGGCGGTGAATCAATCTACGGAGGAACCTTTGAAGGTACTTTCGTCATCTGCTCAGATTTATTTACATACAAAAATAGTGACACAATCACCTTTGTGGCTCATTGTGACATGCATTCAATGTCCGTCCATATTTAATAATACCACATTTCCTTACAGACGAAACATTTGAAATGAAGCATGAGAAACCATTTCTATTGTCGATGGCCAATCGTGGCAAGGGAACCAATGGTTCCCAATTTTTCATGTAAGTTAAATATATCAACATGGTTTGTATGGGATTTTATACAGAGTCGATTATGTGAATCCATTTTTAGAAAAGTGTACTCATAATATTCACACATTTTATAAACATTTTTTAATCTTACTTTTATGTTTATTGTCATTTAAAATCATCAATTTCCCAATATATTTACGTTTACAGACTTTAGAACAATCACAACCAATGCAAAAAATATAAAATTCAAGTCAAAATATTAAAAATTCTATGACTTGAATGAGATGTTGAGACCGAATTTTGCTTGTGCTGTGTGCGTGACAAATTTATGACCAACTCTATCTATTTTTTTCGTTTCATTTTATTTTCTATATACAGTACAACGCAACCTGCTCCACATTTGGACAAGTAAGTTGAATGAACGCAAAGATAAAATGGATTTTATGGCGCTTTTATATTGCATAAAATTAATGTTATCTCATTTTTTTTGGATTACAGTATTCATGTGGTTTTTGGTCATGTTGTGTCGGGGCATGACGTTGTACGTCAGCTCGAGCAACTGCCTGTTGATCGCAAATCACGACCACTTCAAGATGCAGTTATAAGCAACTGCGGCGAACTTGTACGCCAGATCAAAGGTATGTATATATCCACCGAGAGTTGGTGCAACTCATCACACAATACTTTGCTAATGGTTTTTTTAATTTACAGTGAAGAAAGTCAAGCGTCGCAAGAGCTCGGCAAGTGAAAGCGACAGCGAATCCAATTCTGATTCGGATGACGACAAAAAGAAAAAGAAGAAGAAGAAGAAGAAAAACAAAAAGAAGAAAAAGAAAATGGAGTCGGGGTAAGTTTACAATGATTTTTTTTGTTAAATATCGTATTTGGCCAAGTGGAATGAAAATTAATTAATAAATGGCATTGAATTTGCAGCAGTAGCAGTGATAGCAGTAGTGATGAGGAACAAGAAGAAGGGGAAATTAATGAAGACGAAGAAGATGCAAAGAAGCGCAAGTCTCGAGTTGACCCAAAGGAGATTCCGGAAGTAAAAAACAATTTCCTTATGAGGCCCTGCAAAGATAAGGAGGAGGACAAAGAAAAAAACAGCGATTCCGATTCAAAGCATCGACGAAAGGATAAAAAAGCAAATCGAAGTGAACCTCAAAGGGGGTATGTAGATTTCTTTTTTTATTCGAAATTCTCGATTATCTAACATGGTTTATTTACCCATTCCAAAAAAAAATTAGATTTGGTTGGTCAAAACGTAAGGTTCCACTGTCACGAAGTGGAAGAGTCATCAAAGGGCGCGGTGTATTTGTGAGTAAAAAAAATTTAATTCTCTTTTGCTTCATCAGTTGAGTAAATTTGGACTTTTTAAAAAATCAAATAGAGATACAGAACACCGTCGAAATCTCGTAGCCGATCTCGAAGTATCACGCCGCCACACTGGAAACAAGCTCAAAAGCGAGTGATTAAATTCACTGACTTGGAGGTAAATCGCTCATATTTTTTCGAATAATCAAAACAACATTAACCAATCCCACTATTCCAACAGAGAATCCAAGAAGAGAAACGAGTCCGAGACGCGGAAATAAAGCGTCGAGAAACGGAACGGAAGATTCGTCATGAAAAATTGGCCCGTGATGGAAAGAAATCTTTCTTTGAACTGGGACAAAATACATCCCAAGATGCAACGGGCGACGAAAAAGTCACAAATACTGAAACTGATGACAAAACTGAGACTTATGAAAACGAAGCGGCTGAGAAAAAGATCGTGGAAAAAAGCCCATCAAAAATCGATAAAATCGAAGCTAATAATTCATTTACAACGAATGAAAACGATTTGAATGCATTGGATTATGAAGCCGATAAAGATGATAACATTGATGAGCCGGAAGCAACAATAACCGTGCAACGAGTCGAGGTGGAACACAAGGAAACTGAGAAATCATTGAAGTCAAATAAGCACAGTGAGGTGATTGAAAAGTCAAGCAAAAAGGAATCCGATTCAAAGAAAACGGATCGAAGGCATCGATCACGTTCCAGAGAAAAGCGTTCAAGGGAAAAACGGTCCAGGGACAAATCGGATCGTCGTAACTCTTCAAGAAATCATAACGATCGAAGAGTGTACCGACGCCGCGAATTTTCACCACCACGAGACAATCGCAGACGTGATGCACACAGATTTAAGCGCAATCGTTCACGCTCCACCTCTATTGATCGATCCCGTCGACAAAGACATCGCGACAGCAGGTAAATAAATTCACAACCTTTATCTTAAATATCATTAAATTTATTTAAAAAAAAAATTCTATTAGATCAACTGAACGTCATCGCAGACATCGCTCACGGTCTCGATCCAAATCTCGTCGATCAAGCCGTTCGGCGTCACGAAAACGAGATGAAAAACGTGCTCGCAAAGAATCGGGCCGCCGATCCAAGTCTGTGGAAGAGAAAGACAAGCCGAAAGAAAAGGAGAAAGAAAAGCCGAAAGAAAAGGAAAAAGACAAATCCGAAAGAATATCAAAATGGGATAAAAAACCAGTCGAAGCACCAAATGATTCCAATCCGTTCCGTCGAACAGCCGATAGTAAGCATTCAATCGAATCAGCGGCAGACGAAAAAGAGCGCCTCGCCAGAGAAAAGATGCTCAAACGTGCCGAAGCACTGCAGCTGCTTAAAGGTCATATGCAAAAAGAAATTGAAGAGCATAATAAAAAGCTAGCTGAAAAAGAACGTATCAAAGAGGAACAAGATAGAAAGAAAGACAGAGTCGAAACGGCATTGGAAATAGCACGGCTTGAACAAATTAAAAAAGACACACTTGAAAAGCTAAAAGTGCAAGAACATCAACAAATTTCAGCCGTCAAAAAGGTGCTTGAGGTCATTACGAAAAAATCAAAACGTCGAGGATCCAGCAGTAGTTCGAGCAGCTCAAGCAGCTCATCATCAAGCAATTCAGATTCTCGCAAAAATAAAACAAAACGTCGTCGACGCAAGAGCTCATCATCGGACAGCTCGTCCGAATAATGTGGCTTGAAGTTAAATTGAAATATTTTAGCATGAATGTCATCCACATTTTATAACACTATTTGATTTGATTGAAAATTGTATCTTTTATTCAAGTGTATTTTGCATTCCCTGTGCGGATTTTTGAATCAATGACGAAATAAAATACAGTGTCGTTGTAATAAAAAAAAAAAACAAAAACAAATTGTTCTCCTTTCCAATTTTTACATGCTATACGGAAACTAGAAAACTAGATTAATTTTATGGGAAAAACTTGAAAATTTCGATTTACATTAAAATTAGAAGAATTTTTCAATTAAAGAACATATGTGAGGAAATATTGACTCCCACGTAGTTAGTAACTACTAGTTACGTTGAGGCAACATAGTTTGCGGTTGCCTGGCAACCTTTATTGACTGAAGCTCTTGTAAAAGAATAACAGTCAAAATATGTTACAATTAATTGAATTCCTACTGTATTATATCATTATATTACAAATACTTTCATTCTGATGAATTATCAATGAAACTATTCAAATGGATCTTTTCTTAATCTAAAAGCTTTGATTTTCGTGTATTCATCGCACAATGATCGTGAAAGGTATGTGTATACTTAACTTTTGCGAAGCCAAAATCAATTAATCTTAACCTAAACATAGTTGTGATATGGTTTTATTTATTATTGATATTTATATGATTTATATAAAAAAACCTAAAAAGGAGCCAATCAAGTTGCTGAATAAAAAGTGGAATTTCGCGACTGGTTTTTCGAAAATGAGGAAATACCGTGGTGAAAAGTCCAATCTTCTCGATAAAGCTTCTTTGGTAAGTTTCTTGCAGGTTTTCTTCTGTTTCCATCGGGTTATAGATGGCGTTCGAGCAGTCGTAGCTAGAACACTAGAAAGTGGTTAAAAAAGCTTTAAATTAAATTTTCCACAATTCTGTCGCCTAATATATATCATCTGACGCCATACGTTTCACACAATTGGAGCCAGAACAAAAGAATCAACGAGCACCGCTATTTACACATTTGTACAACAAACTAATATCGTCGCATTGGGATGGTCTTTTTGTTTATCGCGGTACGACTGAGATTGGCATCTATTCATTTCACTGAATTCAATTACATGACGAATCACTTGAGCGAAGTGATGAAAATCAGGCGTCAATTTCGGATCCTTTTTTGCATTTTCGTAACAGATAAACGCAGTTGGAAATCTATAAAAATGTTTCTTATTGTTTGGCGCATTTGAAGTGATGTGGTCAAGGAATAGAGTTTGCATCGTAAAAACTTACAATCACAGAATGCCTTATGTATTATTATGGGGATCTATCATTACCAAAACCAACAGGGAGCTACTAAAACCAACGAATATGCCAAGTGATGCCTTCAAAAATATCGCATTGACTGTTGATGGTTTTGTTTTGACTGTGATGGCATCACATCGTCGTCAGTATTGCTGAAGTATGCCAAGTGTTTAGCAAATGTAGAGTCCAATCTCACACACACGCACACATACTTCGTGGTGCGTGCATGTCAACATTTTCCATCTGCAAAGCAAAAAAGTGACTGCTGTTGCTGTTTCTGCTGCTGTTGCTGTTGTATCTCTAAGTACGAACAATAATTTTATATTCTGTCTCTCCCGTAAATGTCATGGCATCGAATAGAGAGCTGTGTACAGTATCCAGCAGAGTGAACCGAGTGAGAATTGTTGACTCAGCGTCACACTAAATCCCAGTATCGTCCTCAGTTCGTCTTCAACAGTCGATTCCGTATAACGTTAAAACTGCTACGCTCGTCAATTTGGTGTGTCCTCTTGCTCTCTCGAAAATCCAAATACAGTTCGAATACAAACAGTTCGTGTCGTTCGAATGAGAAACGGTTTCGTGGCAGAAATACCGTCCGTTTTTTTTTGTTTAGTGAGAAACGTTAAATGCTCGCAAACCACACTGCGGTCTCATGCATTATCGAAAGTGCTGCGTGTGTACATGAAAGACAAGTTCTCGTTATATTCTTCGAAAGCGATACTCTTAAGCAACAAATCATTATTGCAGATTAGTGTAATGGTCAGTGGTTGTTAAATCGAAATGAGATAAGAAGAAAAAAAAACATCGAAAAAATTAGCTTTTCGAAGAAAATGTAATTCAAGTGAATGGACAAATTATAGCCAAATACACCAATCAAATTCAGTGCGTGTAATAGTAAAAGGCGTTTTCGCCGTTCAATTCGAAAATTTGTGGTTCCAGTAGATAGATTTTTCCCTCCGCCAAAAGAAATCTATATTCTCTCGTTAGTCTTAAGTTTTAACCGAAGAAATTCTGACGTCGTTTCTATCCAAAAAAAGTTTTGTGAAATTGAATTACAACTTAGTAGCATCAGCGTAAAAAAGTATATGTACAAGTTGAAAAAAGTAAACACAAAGGATATATCGAAAAAAAGTGATACAACGAATGAATAAAAAAAACGCAACCAGAAAAATGCGCATGTATTGAAAAATTCGACCAATTTCAGGATCAAATAGGATCAATCTGAACGAAATAAGTCTGATTTTTATTCAAATTTGTGCCACCGGTTCAATTGAATCGAAAACTAAAACCATAAAAGAAACATAAACAGGCGACAATGCAGACAACACACATTGACTCAAATACGGCGCAGCACATAAAACATCGTGATCATATTACCATTGAAGTAAGTAAAATCATCTCTTTCACCTTATTTGATAAATATTGTGTGTTTGTGTGTGAGTGTTGAGCGAGGTAACGGGCGATTATTTAAAATTGAATTACAAACTTATCGCTAATTGGTAATCTGGTAAGGTGAGCGTTTGCATGCATATTCTTTGAATATTGGCTGAAAACATGAGATGTATAGCATTGTTGCTACGTCTGGAGTAATAGACAAGAACCATCACCACCCACTAAAAAAGACGGGGAAAAAGTTCATTTTACCAGTTTCCTGCTAGTGCAAATGTTCATCACCACCCACTCGATGAACTCTTCTGCAATGCGCAACTCATATTTTATCATTTGGAGTATAGCAGGGAAAACGATAAATATGGTCTCGACAATCTCGAAATGTATCTCGTTCGAGAGTTCGAGGATGGATCGAGACTTTTACTGAAAACAAATTCCCCTCAATCTGAAAATGTGTTATCAATGGCAAATAGAAGAGAGTAAACACATTTTCCCCGACATTTTCTCCATCGGCACTGATAACTGTTACTGAGAGCGAAAACCATACAAAAATATTCCATCACAACTGTTTAATGAGATAGTCGCAAAGCAGATGTCAAGCAACACATAACAACAATCCAGAATTATTATTTTCTCTTTTAATTTTTCAATCGCTTCTCGTTCTTAACGCTCTAACATCATTTTTCACGATAAACATAAATCACATTTTCTTTTCGCTTTTAAACGTGAAATATTTTCTTTTTATGATTTCTCTTCATTCCTTTTTGGCTTCGATAAAATGTAGAAAAGAGAAGAGTTGTTGTGTTTGTTTATTTTCTTCGACGGAATCAGTTTTTTTTGTACTACCTGTGTCTGAAGTTTTTTGTTTTGAAAATTTTCTTCTAATGTGCGCGAAGATTAATTGAAAATATTTTCAAAGAAATAACTTTGCGTATGTGTTTGTGTATTGTGTGATTCTTTCTTTAAGTGCGTTTTTGCTGTTGTGGTTTTGAACAATGGGGATAGGCGTTTGAGAGCACGTATTAATGGCAAGCATTAATGTTATATCGAAATAATGAAATTCATCGGAATTTGAGAAGAGCTAGTAACAAGAACAATCATAATTGAAATATGATTAAATATTCAGAATGTTTAACGCATAACATAACGGTTATTACATTGAATTAAAATAAAGTGCTTGAGAACTTGACTGGAATGCGTGAAATTCTCTTTAGCTACGATATATTAAATCACAAAAATCGAACAACATCAGCAGCAACCACTCAAGTTAAAACCACATAAATTGCTGCGGCATTTTCACCAAATGAGTGTGAAACCTTGGTTGACACATTACTTTTTGAAACATAGCATTTTCACATGCACCACACATTGTCCCGTTTGCAATGAACAAATTCACGTGCATGACCAACCGCACACACATTCGACGAGTTTGTTTTGAAATGCGCGCAACAATGAACCGAATGTGATGGATGGCCAAACATAATTTAGTAAACCATGAGAAAAACATCATACTCTCATATGAGAAAGAGCAAACAAGATTCAAAGAAAATATTTCAATCCGATCTCAAAAATCACTTTCTTCATCGTCACTTACTGTTCGTACTTTTGTGTACATCAGTGCCACTTTGTACGGTTCTTTTTGCAATGCGAACAACTTTTTCACTTTTATATTGTTTCAACGATGATAGCGAAAGACGGAAGGCTTGAGTGTGCCAAGGTTATTCGGTAATGCAATTACTTAAAAAACTGCTTCTGGGTTATACTTCATTTTCATTCAAAGAAACCGCTGGATTATTTATTGAATAGACATGGCATAATTTCATCAATATTTATCAGTTTATGATATTTACTCGCTGTCAATTGACTCGCCCCAAGTCCAAAATACAATGAAATAATTCGGTTCACCCGTTTTATCGGGGTGTGTGTGTGCGCTTTTGTGTTATTTTTAGTTTGAAATGGATAGAATTCCCAAGTGTTCGCCCAACTCGTCACAGATTGTTGCAAAGAAATCCTTTAAATAATAAAATTTGATGGAAACTCACTCTTTGTGTGAGCGAGTATTTTTCGTGTGGTTCGACTTTTGACCAACTCTATGTCGGCTGATATGAAATTCGAGAATTTCTTTATGCCTTGCGAAACTTTGAAAAGTGTGTTTGAATTTAAAGTTTTTGTGTCGAATCAAATATTGTGTGTACACCAGTGTAATTGGAGAAGTAATCGCATCCGGAAATGAGGTGACGGGAATATGTGTTCCAGTTGTGAATTGTTCGACACATTTTTAAGATATATCTCGACATTAATGCTTGTCATTAATCAAGCAGCTCTCGGTTTTTTCGCATTTCACCCCCAAACCACATTTTATACCATGCGACATCTGTGTGTTGTGAAAACATCGGCTTTATACTGATTGACAGCAGATTTCTCTTTTTTTTCGTCTGTTTACTTTTAGTATTATTATCGGCAATACAAGTTATATGCTT